AACATGTCCTCTGCAAAAGTTTAAAACAGAGTTAGAGGATTTATTACGGGAGCTTCCATTTTTAGATAATTTATTAGTGGTACGAGATTTTAATATTTGCCTACGGTCTCTGTCAGGGTGCAGTACGAGCATATTTAATTTTTTAGGTAGTCATAGTTTTCGATTTTTATTAGATTTGAACATGTCTACGACCAATAGTGATACACTTATTGATTGGGCGTGTTCAAATATTTCAGATCGCAGGGCCACGGCGCGCACTTATGAAATGGTATAGCCATCATAGTGGAATTTTAGTTAGTTTGCAGGAGAATTAGGATTTTGTATAATTTAATTATTTATTACTTATTTATTTATTTATATTTATTTAATTTTTTTTAAATTATTTTATTTTTAAAATTTTTAAATTTATTAAGTATTTATTAACAACATACTTTAATTTTTAGTTTTTGGGAACAGAGGAGTTGTATTTGCACAACTCAAGTCGACTCGTAGGTCTGCAAAAAATTTGTTTTTGCTAAAGGACCCTACTGCGTAGGTAATGGCCTCCCCGTGGTGTTCCCTGGGTACCGATTAAATTCATTAATCGGGAGCCAATTCGAGCGGCGACACTAACATAAACATATCTATATATATAAAACAGTTTGTCCTGACTGACTGATTGACTGATTGGTGATCAACGCACAGTCCAAACGGTAAAGGCTAGGAAGCTGAAATTTGGACTCAAGTATCCTTTCATAGTCTAGGTGCCCACTTTTTGGAAAACTCGAGCTCCAAAGGGGGGAAAACAGGCTCCAACGTTTGTATGAAAAATCTACAGTTTTCATTTGATTAACTTTAAACTTAGTTTGTATACTCTCAGAACAATTCCAAGAAAAAATGTATACTTGGTTTTTTGATTTTTTTTTTTGGGGCCTAAAATATGGGAGTTTTCCTGTAAAAAAATGTTGGGGCACAAAAGCAAACCGCGTCAACAGCCCACAGCCCACACGGTAAAAGCTAGGATGCTGGAGTTTGGGCTCAAGTATCCTATCATGGTGCAGGTGCGCACTAAGAAGGGAATTTGGAAAATTTGAGCAGCAAAGGGGGGAAAACGAGCTCCAAAGTTTGTTTGAAAAATCCGAATTTTTCAACCGATCGACTTAAAACTTGGTTTCTGAAATCAATTAAAGAATACAAACAAAACTGCATACTTAGATTTTCGAAATTTGTGTTGGAGCTTGAATTATTGGGCTTTTAATATTTATTCACTATTTCAAATGAAAAGTTTTTGTTATAAATTTAGTCCGATCGATTTAAAATTTGGGTAATGTAATCTACGTAACTAAATCTACAACTTTCCATTCAAGGATTTTCAAAATATGCATTTTACAAAAGCAGAACAAACAATACAAAATATCAAACAGTTGGGGACAACTAAGTATACATACACACACGCACACATGCAAGCAGCTGTTCGTGTAGTTGCGTGCAAACGATTGAAATAGCCAAAGCAAAATGTGAGACACTAATGTGTGAATGTCCATACATATGTGCACATCTATGTATGTACATATGTATCTACATATGTATGTATGCACATTCGTCTTGCACTGACAGAGCAAGAAATGTTAATTAATTGAAAATTATATAACATTTTTAAAAGTAAATTTTTCTTTGTTTAATGCATTTGGCACTAGGGTTTTCATTAATAACTTTATGCAGCAACAACAAATATCAAATAGTTGGGGACATCACATACACACACTCACACACACAACAAGCAACAGTTCGTGTCTATGTGTGCGGTTCCCTACGTACGGAGTAAAGAGAAACATGCATATGTATTGCCTGTGTATGAATATAGCATGTATGTACATTCGTATTAATGTATGCATTGGGCAATCAAACACAGTTGTTTGATTGTAAAAAAATAATGCTCTAAAAACAAGAACAACTGGAAGTCATTGGCTCGCTCTTCTTCTTTCGTTTTTACCATTTAATGTTAATTGCAAAGGCAAAACGCCAAAAGTTTACAGTTAGTAAAGCAGAAACCGAATAACGGAGCTACGCATATTCTGCTTCGCATTGCGGGCAGATGTATGTATGTATATGATTTGTTCTTATTGATCTCAATAAATAATTAGATTTTATTATTTAAATATTCTGCTTATTACATTCAAACTTCGATATTTTGATGGTATCGGTGGCTTCAACTATCGAAAGTTTTACTCCAGCAAATTGAGATGAGAATTGTCAGTGCTTTTTGATCGTGGCTCATCGCTGCACGGCATTGACACGAGTCCGTGGCATGTTTCATATTCCGAGTTTGTGCGTGACCGTATTGACTCAATATGGCACGAAAAGACTCAAATGTGAATTTAAAATTAGGATAAACCCTTATAATTATTCCCCTTTTTTGCACATAGTCTCTCTTAAAACGTTGCGTTATCTCTATATATAAAACAGTTTGTCCTGACTAATTGGTGATCAACGCACAGCCCAAACGGTAAAAGATGAAATTTTGACTCAAGTATCCTTTCATAGTATCAAGTATCATAGTGTAGGAGCACACTAAGAAAGGCTTTTGGAAAATTCTAGCTCCAAAGGGGGGAAAACGAGCTTTAAAAAATATTAGTTATAGTGGTCATGTTCGTTTAACGAAATAGCTTAATATGATATTTTAACGGACTACTGAACAATTTTTTGTCAAGAACCTTCCTACCTGCCTTCCTACTGGTAACTTATAAGGTGAAAACATATGGGTAGGTTATGCCCGGGTTAAGGCGGGCAATACCTGCTAGTATTTATACAAATTAATATAATGTACTAACCTATGAAAAACAAGTAAAAAAGCTAAAGTCGGGTGTCCCGACTTTGAAATACTCTGTACATATGTTTACAATAATTACAGAAAATAAAAAAAATTAAGAAAATAAAAAAAAATTCAATGATCGATTTTGCCTTTCTCGGTATTCGAACTCACGTAAAGGGTGTATAATTGCACATTTACATAGCAATTGCGTCTGTGTGAGTGTATGTATGCCTATGCGCATCTATTCGTGTCTGTGTAAGTATTTTCGCAGTCAACCAAACAGCAACATCAACAACAGCCGCGGGCAGCGCTTGAGCAGCGCTGCAGCAGCAAATATATTTATGGCTATAACTTCTTGGTAAATCGGTCTATCATAGTGAAACTTGGCATACGGACACATAATTACTAACTGGGGGTATTTGCAAAATTTTAGTTCGAAATTCCAAGAATTACGGGAGTTAGAGAAAATCGCATTTGCGGGGGAGAGGGGGGAGGGAGGGGAATTCCAAAATATACATTTTCTGCGTATTCACACAAGGCACCTTGGACTAAAATTTGGTGTTCCTAGGTCTTATAGTCTCCGAGATATAGGCGATTATACGAATGGAAAATCGGGAAAACCCCCATAGGGGGGAAGTGGGGGGGAAAATCAAAAAAATAAAACAAACTCGTATAGAATACACACATAACGCATCTTTGTGCAAAATTTGGTGTCTCTATCTCTTATAGTCTCTGAGATCCAGGTGTTCATACGGACGGACAGACGGACAGACGGACAGACAGACAGACAGGGCTAGATCGACTCGTCTTGTCACGCTGATCAAGAATATATATACTTTGTGGGGTCTGCCACGCCTCCTTCTGCCTGTTACATTTTTCAGCTCCCGCAAACCTAATATACTCTTGTACATTTCATGTACAGAGTATAATTATGCCTCTGTTAACAATATTTATACACATATGTACATAGTATTTCAAAGTCGGGGCGTCCGACTTTAGCTTTTCTACTTGTTTTCTAAAAGTTCCGTTATAATGCCATTTTCTGTATTTCTTAATATTAAACCGACTGTAACTTTGTCTTCATAAGTTTTTAGCTTAGGCCAATCTTCTCTCGGTTTGCTTAGCCATTTAGGACCTGTCCACCAATTCTCGCAATCTTTGAACTTAATAGAACAAATCCCTCTTGAGGCTATATCGGCAGGATTGTCTTCAGATACCAAATGTCTCCAGTTAATTTGTGGTATCTTTTGTATTTCTTCTGTTCGTTTTCTAATAAATTTGTCTTTGTTAGTTCCATTTTGTATCCAAGCTAACGTATAGTCGAGTCACTCCAAGCATATGTTTCTGCTGCACATGTTATCGATTTTTATACTCTGTATGTACATGAAATGTACAGGAGTATATTAGGTAGGGAGGTGAAAAATGTAACAAACAGAAGGAGGTGTGGCAGACCCCACAAAGTATATATATTATTGATCAGCGTAATAAGACGAGTCGATCTAGCCCTGTCTGTCTGTCTGTCCGCCTGTCAGTCTGTCCGTCTGTGCTTCCGTATGAACACCTGGATCTCAGAGACTATAAGAGCTAGAGAGACCAAATTTTGCACAAAGATGCCTTATGTGTGTACGCTGTGCAAGTTTGTTTTATTTTTGATTTCCCCCCCCCACTTCCCCCCTATGGGCGTTTTCCCGATTTTCCATTCGTATTATCGCCTATATCTCGGAGACTATAAGACCTAGGGACACCAAATTTTAGTTCCAGATGCCTTATGTGAATACGCAGAAAATGTGTATTTTGGAATTTCCCCTTAATTCTTGGAGTTTTTCATTGAAATTCGGAAAATACCTCCCGTTAGTGATTATGAGTCCGTGTGTCGAGTTTCATAATGAGAGGCCGATTTAACAGGAAGTTATAGCCATATATGTATATATGACCAAGCAGTGACCGCAGTTGTTGTTGTTACTGCTTTGCACAGGCACACAGTCACACACATACACGCCTAGATAAGCATAATTATACTACACATATGTACAGAGTATTTCAAGGTCGGGATACCCGATGTTAGCTTCTCTACTTGTTTTTATTTCATAGTCGGGACACCCGACTTTAGCTTCGCTACTTGTTTATTTTTAATTTATTTGTTTTTAATTTTCTCTCAAATGTTTTTTCAAAAAAGTGTGGATGAATAAAATATGTAAATACAACATACCTGAATAAATATACAAGTTAGGCATTCGGAATCATCACCAGCACTTGGCTTTGCGTAGTCCCAAGATAAATCCTCGTACCGAAGCCCCAACAATAGTGTCTATAAGAAACATAAAAAAAAAGAAATTTCATCTCTTCACCAACACTATATATATTTAATACAAGTCTCTTAATGTGTCGTCTGCTATGCAAGGGCGTACGATTTTTTCAAAGGGAGGAAGAGGAGGAGCAAGAAAAATGTTGATTAAATAATGCACGTTCAAATAATAATGCATATGATCAATAAAAAATTTCATAATAGTGAATGTGTGGTCGACTTCTTATTGCGAAACGGCCCCTACCCACCCTGCGTATGCCCTTCCTGCTATGTGTATATATTTTATTCAAGGGTAGTCTATGTGTTTTATATAAAAATTATATTACTGTTACTTATTATTATCCGCTAGCATCTCGCTAGACGAGTCGATCTCGCCCTGTCTGTCCATCTGTATGATCACCTACTTCTCAGAGACTATATGACACTAAATTTTGTGTGCACTCTGTGCAAGTTTGTATTAGGTTTTTGATTCACGAATAGGCAGGCATAGACATGCATACACTAAAAAAACACAATTGCTATGTAAATGTGCAATTATACACCCTTTAGTGAGTTCGAATACCAAGGGACGTAAAATCGATCCAAATATTTTTTTAATTTTCTTATTTTTTTTAATTATTGTTTTTATAATTATTTTATAAATGGTCCAAGGAATTTGATGATCCCTTTACCTCTACGCTACTTTACAGTTCACTGGTACGGCCTATTCTACAATACATGCGTATGGTGTCCGCAGTACAAAACGCATCAGGATCGAATTGAGTCTGTTCAGAAACAATTCTCTCTTTTTGCTCTTCGTGGCTTAAACTGGGATCCCAATCTTCGTTTGCCGCCTTACTCGAGCAGACTTCTGCTTATTAATCTTCCGTCATTGGTTAATCGGAGGACTGTCCTTGAGCTGTATTTGTCCACAAACTAATTGCCTGTAGTGTTGGTTCTCCTTTCCTATTAGGTCGTCTTAATTTCTCTTGCGGACCTTGGTCACCCGTGATATCATCAACGGTAGGAGACGTCCGACAAAGGCACGGATGTCCATATTTTTTGCTTACCTGGAGCTAAACAAAAACCAAACCTGTTTTTCAAATCAATAGATTGTGCAATTTTCGCAATTAAAAATCAAGCGTCCCATCTTTTAGAAATATAGTTTATATAAAACTAGCGTCCTGCCCCTGCTTCGCACGGGTATTTTTACAAAAATTTTAAAAATGATACCTTTTATAACACACACACAACTCACATACAAGTATACCCTTCTTCTTGCTATGAGTTACTAAGGAGTAAAATTTATTTTCGATATTATTATTTAAATGATTTTTTGTTCGTTTTTAAATTTTTTTGTTATTGTTTATTAGGTTAGAGGTTCTCTGTAAAAGATATTGGTTTTTTTTTTGTGGTAAGAAAATAAATTGATTTTCAGGAATTCCGATCCGTGATAGGACAACATTGCTTTCGTATGACGATCTCTACATATTCGAAGGCCTGGAACTACCGGAAATTGAAGCCATATAAATGACCAAATGGGATCATCGGTATCCTCGTTATATGAACTAGTTGACCAGTTGCTGGGCCGTTGATAACAGTTGCTACACTTAAATTGTCCTGCAATTCCTTAATAAGCAGCCTCGTCCCATTGCACATGATTGGAAGGTTTTAATTTCTCAAAAGTATGATTGCAATTCCGAATTTCACCGCCAATTCATGTGGCGGCAGTCCAGAAGGATGTTGATCGATTTGTAATTTTTTATTTGGTTGGGGGTTTTTGAATAATATTGCCTTAATATTTACAGTGACAATGCTTCGAGGATGATTATGAACTAACAGCATGCTATTCAGGAGTTTTTTAAGGTAATTTTTGTACACCTTTGGTTACATTATTGGCGTTTTAACCGACCATAGTGTAGCTTCCCAACAGTGAAAGAATCCATTAAATCGATCCAGTAGATTCGGAGCCTTTTCAATTCAAACAAACAAACAATCAAATCTTTCCTCTTTATATTGGTATAGATAGTATAAGTTTTCTGCTCGAGCAGGAACTAGCTTGTTTTTAAACAAGTAAAAAAGCTAAAGTCGGGTGTACCGACTTTGAAATACTCTGTACATATGTTTAGAAAAATTATAGAAATTAAAAAAACTAAGAGAATTAAAAAAAAAATTTTGATCGATTTTACCTTTCTCGGTATTCGAACTCACGTAAAGAGTGTATAATTGCACATATACAAAGCAATTGCGTCTATGTCAGTGTATGTATGTTTATGCGCATCTATTCGTGTCTGTGTAACCATGTTCGTAATTAACCAAAGCACCAGCATCAACCATTACACAATAGATGCGCATAGGCATACATACACTCACACAGACGCAATTGCTATGTAAATGTGCAATTATACACCCTTTACGTGAGTTCAAATACCGAGAAAGGTAAAATCGATCATTCATCATGATAGGTCAATTCTGAAGAAAGTTATAGCCATAAGTAAAATCGCTGCTCATGGGCTGCCTGCAGCTCTGTCGGCAGCGCTGCCCGCAGCTGTTGTTGTTGTTGCTGCTTTGGTTCAACTTTGTGCTGCATACATACACGCATATAAACACGAATAGGTACGTGATGTAAATGTATGCTGTTAAAACTGAACATAAACATGTATTCTAATTTAATTAAATTAATTAATTAATTCATTCATTATACTCTGTACATGAAATGTACAGAAGTATATTAGGTTTGCGGGAGCTGAAAAATGTAACAGGCAGAAGGAGGCGTGGCAGACCCCACAAAGTATATATATTCTTGATCAGCATGACGAGACGAGTCGATCTAGCCCTGTCTGTCTGTCTGTCCGTCTGTCCGTCCGTATGAACACCTGGATCTCAGAGACTATAAGAGATAGAGACACCAAATTTTGCACAAAGATGCGTTATGTGTGTATTCTAAACGAGTTTGTTTTATTTTTTTGATTCCCCCCCCCCCCCCCCCCACTTCCCCCCTATGGGGGTTTTCCCGATTTTCCATTCGTATAATCGCCTATATCTCGGAGACTAAAAGACCTAGGAACACCAGATTTTAGTCCCAGGTGCCTTATGTGAATACGCAGAAAATGTATATTTTGGAATACCCCTCCCTCCCCCCTCTACCCAGCAAATCGTAACTCCCGTAATTCTTGGAACTTCGAACTAAAATTTTGGAAATACCCCCAGTTGGTTATTATGTGTCCGTATGCCAAATTTCACTATGATAGACCGATTTAACGAGAAGTTATAGCCATAAATATATTTGCTGCTGCAGCGCTGCTCAAGCGCTGCCCGCGGCTGTTGTTGATGTTGCTGTTTAGTTGACTGCGAAAATGCTTACACAGGCACGAATAGATGCGCATAGGCATACATACACTCACACAGACGCAATTGCTATGTAAATGTGAAATTATGAACCCTTTACGTGAGTTCGAATACCGAGAGAGGTAAAATCAATCAAATTTTTTTTTTTTATTTTCTTAATTTTTTTATTTTCTATGATTATTGTAAACATATGTACAGAGTATTGCAAAGTCGGGACACCCGACTTTAGCTTTTTTACTAGTTTTTTTTAATAATTTATTTTTTTTTTAAATTTTTCTTTTTTGTGGAGAGTACAGGCTATTTTACTGTTGGGCTTGCTCGACTGTAGCGTTCTATCTTGTTTTTTTTTTTAAATAACAAATATTTTAAGTTATTATTTTATTATTACATTTTGCATTATGCAGAGCCATTTAAAAAAAAAACATCTGTTTAGGAGCACCAAAACTATGGGTAATATATACCATTTCTGTACGTATACCTAGGATAACAAAATAAGACCCCTTTTTGTCTGTTCAAATACTTTAAACCAAAAAAAAAAACATTTAGTAATGGGTCAAAATGATTGCAAGCCCTTCACCTCATATTTTAAATTACACTAGCATTTTGGTTGCACAATATTAAATATGGGTCAAATAGGACCGCTTAGGTTTATTTTTATATCCATAATGCAAAATACAATGTTCCTATTAGCTGTTACAGCGAATCTACCTGTTATGCATTCTTCTTCTTCTACCCGGGGCAGCGCCTTTTTTGCTTATTTTTTCCGAAGTTGTGGCACTCTTTTTCCTATGGTGCACACCGGCGGATGAAAGTTTTTAGTGTTAGGTAAAGGAATATCTCGGGAACATATTTTGAAAATATGGGAGAGGTACTAAAGGGTACTTTTTTTATTTTCCACCAAAGTTGAAAAATACCCCAAAAACAGATAGTTTGCTAAAAATCATTTTCTAGAGAACCACCATTGAAAAAGGCACAATTTTAATTAAATAATACACCTAGCAATACAAATCAAAACATTAATGGTTAGTTACATAATTTAGCTGATATTATACCTAAAAGATAAAGTATTTGCATAAAATTCAATTTTTTGTTGCGAGCTAAAAAAAGGTAAACTTTGAATGCATATGTACATCACATTAACTGTAATTCCGATTTGCGTCTGACAGTGCGTCGGCAGCTTTCGTTTGTTGCTTGCTCTGATTATTTTCCATAAAATTTGCCGTTGCCGTTGTAACATACATATATACTGACCTACTCGCATACATTTGTATATAACTTAGCTAATACATTGCTGTCGTGTTCGCGCTTAAGCTGCTGCATTTTTTGTTTGCCTGCGCTTCGCATAATACCTGCATAATAATTAGCTGATCTGCTAACGCACATGCATTTGTATTAGAATTATTCTTTTCGTCTGTCGCCACTTTCACTGCTGCTCCCAAAAGTATTGCCTTCGCAGTGCTAGACGACCATCTGTTGCGCTCCTCTATACTTGCTGAGAACAGCATATTATTTTCGATTTCTCGTTTGTCACTTAGCAATTTTCGTTTGATCAATGTTTAAAACCTTAAATTAATTTGAATAAGGAATTGATCGAAGAACTTAAAAGGAAGCGCGAGGGCTGTATGAAGAGTATAGCCGTATGCAACGGCAATTAAAAAGAAGAAGTACGATTTCGT